GCTGAGGCAGGAGAATCGCTTGAACCCAGGAGGCGGAGGTTGCATTAAGCTGATACTGCGCCACTGCATTCCAGCCTGGCAACAGAGTGAGACTCCGTCTCAAAAAATATAAAAATAAAAAATTAATAATTCAATATCACAACCAGGACAGAAAAACATAAAGGGAAATAAAACTATTCACCAAAGTAGCATATTAAGGAAATATTTAGTAATAATTCAATAGGCAGCTGTTAAGCACTCCTAAAGTCAGACATTGTACTGGACTTGGAAATGCAAAGCTAAATAAGATGCAATATATAGTTCCTGAATTCAAATTGCTTACACTTTACTACAGGAAGACAGACACAACAGAAAAATTCCAAATGGCATGATTAATCAAGAGTCAAATGCATGATGTCCTAGGGAAATGTAAAACACAACATTATAAAGCTATTTTAATAATTTACTACAGGGGTAAGAGCTGTTTTTGCTTACAACTTTTTACAAAAGTTTAAAAGCCTGACTTTTTTCTACTGAGTCGTTTAAAAAATATTTATGAGTACCTATAATGTGCCAGGCACTTGGGATTATACAGACAACAAAACAGATGCAATTTCTTCCCTTATAGAATGCACAGTCCAGTGAAAGGTAAAGGTAAACAGGTGATTATAACACGTGCTATAATGAAGGAAATAGAGTGTGTTACGGGAACCTAGCTGGAGAAAGTTATGTTGAAGTAAGACCTGAGGGATGAGTAGGAGTAACCCAGGGGATGAGGGATGTTGCGATGCGGCCACAGGGGAGTAAGGCAAGAGTCTTTAAAGCAGAGGAAATACAAGTGCAAAGGTCTGGAGTAAAGGTCTGGAGTTGAGAGAGAAAGCACAGTGTGTGTGCAATTAACTCAAGTTGTCCAACAGAGTTCTAGTGTAGTTTAGTGTGTAATAAGGGTGGAGAAGTGTCAGAGTTGGGGGTGGGATGGGTAGGTTTTGGTAAGGAATGAGGTCTAAGAGACTAGAAAAGTCCAGATCATAAATTGCCTCATAGTCATTTGAATTTTGGACATTTTGCTGAAGGCAGTTTTAAGCAAGAAAATGACATTATCAAATGTCTCTTACTTTATAAGATCACTCTGGCTACACTATGGAGAATGGGTTGGAAAAATGACAAGACCACTGGAGGCATATAATCCAGTTAAGAAGGGTCAAGACATCTCCAGTTGAGGGCAGGGTGAAAAAAATCATGACTAGATTTCTTCAGAGAGAATTACAGGCTCAAATCAAGAGAAACTGGGCCAGGGCAGTGGCTCATGCCTGTAATCCCAGCACTTTGGGAGGCCAAGGTGGGAGGATGACCTGAGGTCAGGAATTCAAGACCAGCCTGGCCAACATGGCAAAACCCTGTCTCTACTAAAATTACAAAAATTAACTAGGCATGGCGGTGCGTGCCTGTAGTCCCAGCTACTTGGGTGGCTGAGGCAGGAGAATCGCTTGAACCCAGGAGGTGGAGGTTGCATTAAGCCGAGATTGAACCACTGCACTCCAGCCTGGGCAACAGATCAAGACTCCTCCCCAAAAAAACAAAAACAAAAACAAAAATTAAGAGACACTGGTTTGAGGGTTCAGTTCTAGAGCCTGGGGAGTCTGACCTGCTTTGAAGCTTTATGGCAGACACTGTGAGAAGACTAAAGACAAGCTTTTCTGCTGGGCATGATGGCTTACGCTGTAATCCCAGCACTTTGGGAGGCCAAGGCAGGCGGATCACTTGAGGTCAGGAGTTCGAGACCAGTCTGGTCAACATAGTGAAACCCCGTCTCTACCAAAAATACAAAAATTAGCTGGGCATGATGGCATGTGCCTGTAGTCCCAGCTATTTGGGAGGCTGAGGCAGAAGAATCACTTGAACCTGGGAGGCGGAGGTTGCAGTGAGCCAAGATCGCACCACTACACTCTAGCCTGGGTGACAGAGAGAGACTCCATCTCAAAAAAAAAAAAAAAAAAAAAAAAAAAAAAAAAAAACAAACAAAACTCACAAGTGTTTCTAAGCTCCCTTGTGCTAGCAGTGGCCATGTAACACTGTTCTGGTCAATGAGACTGGAACCTCGTCCTCTTCCTCCTTCCTGCCTTGAACATAAAATAAGAAGTTGTAGCAGCCCTCTTGTAAACAGTAGGAAAAGGACAAATGAACTACTAGGGAAATGACGACATTGATAATTGCAAGCCACTGAACGCGAGCTGACATCTAATTGGGGATGCTCTGTATGCACGGATAATTTCCTGTTTATTGGTTGGGTTTTTAATTGCAGCTGGAAAACATCACATACATATGAAACTGGAGATTTCCAGGACAGTAGGATATATGGGTTTGGAGTAGACCTGGTTGGAAGACTGGGGAACTTTTGAACTCATCAGCATAGATGGTAACTATATCCAAAGAGTGGATGGGATAACCCAGAAAGTGGGAAAAGTGCAGAGGGCCAAAGTCAGAGCCCTTTAGAAAGAGCAATATTTAAAAGGTGGGTAGGGAAAGAGGATATTAGGATGAAGTGGCCAAATATGAAGAAAGAATAATATTGGGAGACTGGTGTCACAGAAAACAAGAATGGAAAGCTCTAGAAAGAAGAGAGACCAATATATGTAAGTGTTGCTGAGAAGAGCTCTCTTCTCCTGGTTATCTCTTACTTATCCTTCTTAAATCTCAAGTCATACAGTATCCTCTGGGAACTCTTCTGACCCCCAAGTCCGCCATAGGTGTCTACTCCTGTGTGTTCCTGTAGTTCTAGGCACTTGTTCCATCACAGTACTTCTCATGCTGGCTTGTAATTTCTTAATATCTGTCTCCCTCTCCTTTGTCCTCCACCACAAGGTTGTAATCTCTTGAGAAGGAAGATATGATGTCTATTTCATATTTGTATCTCCAGTGCCTAACACAGTACCTGGTACATAGCAGGCTCTTGAAAGTTTTTGTAAGATCGGGGTCACCAAGGCAGGAACATCTAGGGAAAGGGAGAGGGGGCAGGAAGAAGAAACACTAAGCAAATAGGGTGAAATAATATAATTACCGGGATGTGTCAGTGCTTGGTGCTAAGACTGGGAGAAAGAGAGGGAAGTGCAGGGGAGACGGTGGTGGGTCACAGCCTTGGTGACAAAAGGGTAGGAATGGTATGTGGTGCGGACGTAGAAGTACAAGCCAAAAGAGTGAAACACAAGCCGCTCAGTTATTCGGAAGCAGGGCCCCCTGGTGATATTCTATAACTTGAACGGCCTCTTCCTCTACACATTGTAAATTCCTTGAGGGCAGGGGTCGTGTTACCAGTGTTTGGCATACTGTGGGTACGCAATAAATGCTAAACGAATATATCTCTGGATCCACAGCGCCTATCACCAATGCCTGGCATCTGGAAGGGGCTCAATGAAACGCCAGCTGGGCCTCGGTGTACAGATGAAGCAGGAGGACGGCTGAGTCGCTGCAGAAGCGCTTCCAGGTAAGGGGAGGGAGTGGGTCTCCACTCCAGACTAGTCGACTCGCTCCGTTCTCTGCCCTTTATTTTGCATGCATCCCTTCACCTCTCCATCACGCGTGCCCTGGACGCCTGGCACCGGAGGAGAAAGAAACACACCACTCCTGGATGACTCCGGACAAATCACTCCTTCCCGGCCTCAGATCTGCCCAAACCCGCTTACCAGCTTCCCCGCATTCCTGCTCCAGGTTCTCAGCATACGGACTGCAGCCATCTTACCCCGGAAATGACAGCTGCGCCGCAAACCCGAGAGACTCTCCGCGGCGCGACCTATCAGAAGATGGGAGACGCGCCGCCCCCTGAGCGACCAATAGGGAGGGCAGAAACGAGCCTCCCACCCAACAGCCAACCAGGGAGTAGGGCGGGGCCTGAGCTAAAGCCTAAGGTTGGGGACCCCGCGAGGAGGGAAAAGAGCCTGGGGGATGGAGGCGAGGCAGAGGGCAGCCCAAATTTAACACTGCTGTGTAAATACGGATGCACCAAAGATAATCTTTTTAGTGTATGTGATGGGGGAAATAGAGAGTGTTAAGGAAACACAAAGGAAAGGTACTTACCTCAAGAAAGTTATGTTGCAGTAGGACCTGAGGGATGAGGTAGAAAACATTCCTCTTCTTCATTTGTAATGCAACCGCCTGAAGTACAGAAAATAGAATATATCTATATGTTGTAGCAAGGCTCTGGACAACTAGTTGTTTCACAAGTCCATACAGCAGTACTTTCCAATGACTGCCTTTTTTTTTACTCCCATTTAGTGTTTTTGATTACCAAAATTGGCTAATCAATTTTTTTCATGAAAGATGAACATTACCTAATGTCTAAAATAAACATGTTACCATCTTTCTTTTTACAGATGCTGTCAGATGCAGCTAACTAACATACGCAATACATGTCACAGACATATGATCTTGATTTACTTGTCTCTTGAAGAAATGTCAAATTCGGGTCAAGTAGAACTGGTAAAGAAAAGATCAGAACTTTCTTTTAAAAGGCAATCTTCCTCAGAGCAACTAGGAAACCAATTTCTGGAAATGTCCAGGATGACATTAGACTGTTACTGCTTCTTACATGGGAATGAAAATCTGCACAGATGTCTAACGAATTACAGAGAAAAAAACTAGAACAAATACATTTTAAATCCTCAACATTGAAGATTAGTGGTTATGAAACAAAATCTCAGGTATTTCACAACTTCGTTGTTTAATACGACCCAAACACTTTTTCTTCTCATTTGCCATTTTATGTATTACACACCTATACACATACACACACAAAATCACTACAAACAATAAATCTTATTATCTTTTCTGTTTGTTTGTTTGGCAGAGATAGGGTCTCTTGGGCCAGGCGTGGTGGCTCACGCCCATAATTCCAGCACTTTGGGAGGCTGAGGCAGGCAAATGGCTTCAGCTCAGAAGTTCAAGATGGGATCTCGTTCAGCTCAGAAGTTCAAGATGGGATCTCAGAAGTTCAAGATGTTGCCAGGCTGGTCTCAAAGTCCTGGTCTCAAGCGGCGATCTTCCCATCTCAGCCTCCCAAAGTCCTAGGATTACAGGCATGAGTCACTAGGCCCAGCCTAAATAGTTATCTTTATCAGAAAATCTAGACTAGTCAAAAGAATTTCAAGTTTTTACATTTCCTTAAAAATGTTTATAGACATTATCAATGTATTTGATAATCCCACAAGCATGTGTTTGTATAAAAAGCAGTGGCAGTTGTACCTTTGAAGTGAATCATCTCCCTTCCAAGGTGCTGCTGTACAACTTTCTTCCTCCTGATTTCCTTTTTAACTATACCTGCTCCTTAGAAGATAACTAGTTTATTTTCCTTTACCGTCTTTTTATCTCAATGGATTCTTGCTTCTATATTCAGTATGTGTCCTTATCTTTCATTCCAGCATCTGGAAAGAAATACACCATGTATTCCCTAGTTAATTCTTTTATTCGAGTTTGAAAGCAACAAAGACCCCATTTCTTCTCTTTTTTTAAATTTAAAAATGACCAGTTATGACCCACCAATTCCACTCCTGGATAGCTATGTAAGAGAAATGACAACAGTGTTCACACAAAGACTTGTATAGGAATAATCATAACAGCATAATAGCTATTCTAGAAATAGCCCAGATGTCCAGTAACAGGTGAATAAACAAAATGTGGTACATCCATATACTGAAATATTATTCATCCTTAAAAATGACTGAATTAGCAATAATTGCTATGACATGGATAAATGTGAAAAAAATATTATGCTAAGTAAAAGAATGCAAGCACAAAAAGTCACGTATTACATGATTCCATTTCAATTAAATGTCCAGAAAATGTTGATTTATAGAGATGAAAAACAGATAGTTTTAGTTTATATTAATTACATAAGATTATATTAGTATTATTAATTAATAAGGTTAGAATTAGAAAACAAATTAGCCTGGGGCTAGAGGTGGAAGGGGTAGTGGTTGCAGAGGCAAGAGAGATTTTTTGTGTGTGTGGTGATGAAAGTTTCCTCTTGCCAGTTTGTGGCAATGATTGCATAATTCAAAAATCTTTGAAGTATACACTTAAGACAAGTGAAATTTATGGTATGTAAAGTATACCATAATAAAGCTGTTAAAACTGTGTTACATGGAAGAATAATGAACATATGAATAAAAACAAATACATAAGGCTGGGCGCGGTGGCTCATGCCTGTAATCCCAGCACGTTGGGAGGCGGAGGTGGGTGACGAGGTCAGGCGTTCAAGGCCAGCCTGGCCAACATAGTGAAACCCCGTCTCTACTAAAAATACAAAAATTAGCCAGGAATGGTGGCACGTGCCTGTCGTCCTAGCTAATTGGGAGGCTGACGCAGGAGAATTTCTTGAATGTGGGAGGCAGAGGAGGTTGCGGTGAGCTGAGATTGTGCCACTGCACTCCAGCCTGGGCAACAGAGCAAGACTCCATCTCAAAACAAAACAAAACAAATACATACATCACATAATAATATAACAAAAACTCTTGAACCTACCACTCAACTTTAAGAAATAGAACCTACGGAAAAACACATCATGTAGGTTGTCTAAAAATAAAATACATTCTAAACTACAAAAAAAGAAATAGAATCTTTCCTGTTAGTGAAGATCACTGTCTGCTCCTTCCTTTACCTCTCCCCTCCATATGCGTTACCTTGAATTGTGTTTATCATTCCCTCGTTTCTTCTAGAATTGATCACATATACATATATGGATGGATGCCTAGCAACATATTATTTACTTTTGCTTGTTTTTGAGTCTCATAAAAATGGTATCAAACTATATATATCTTTCTGTAACTAGTGTTTCCGACATGATTTATTTATCCATTCTCTACTGAGTGGATATTTGTGCTGTTTCTAGTTCTTTGCTATTACCATCAGTGCTGTTATGAACATTCTTGATCATTTCTCCTGGTGCATGTTCTAGAGTTTCTTTAGCACAATGCTTCTCAGACATAAATGAGCATTCATAGCAACTGGGTATCTTGTTAACATGCAGATTCTAATTCAGTAAATGTGGGTAGACCTGACATTCTGCATTTCTAACAAGCTCCAGGTGATACAAATGCTATTGGTTAGCCAACTACACTTTGATTAGTAAGCTCAGGATAAATACCTAAAAATTGAATTGTGGAAACGAGGATTATGTTTATCTTCAAGTTTACTCTAGATAATATGAAATTGCTTTCCAGTGTAATTGTACAAACTACATGCCTAGCTGCTGTATGTTTATTGTTCCTCATGTGATAGTCAGATTTAAAATCTTCCCCCAATTTAGTAATTATAAAATGGTGTTGTAATCTTAATTTGAATTTCTCTGATTATTAATAAAGTTGAGCATGTCTCTACATGTTTATTAGCCATTCTTAGAGTGCTTGCTCAATTGTTGATATTTCGAAGATGGGTTGTCTATGTTACTTTCTATAAATGTGGGACGGAATAAGATGAAACAATTTATCCTTAAGAAAATGACTGTGGGACTGGTACGGTGGCTCTGTAATCCCAGCACTTTGGAAGGCCAAGGTGGGAGGATCGCGTGAGCTCAGGAGTTTGTGACCAGTTTGGGCAACATGGCAAAACCCCATCTCTACAAAAAATTAGCTGGGGGTGGTGGCGCATGTCTATAGTCCCAAGGGACTGAGGTGAGAGGATCACTTGAGCTCTGGAGCTCGAGGCTGCAGTGAGTTATGATTGCATCACTGCACTCCAGCCTAGACAACAGGGCAAGACCCTGACTCAAAAAAAAAAAAAAAAAAAAGAACATGACTGTGGCTTCATTATATTGACACCCTGCTCTGTTCAATGGAATTCTCCAGAAAGAGTGAAGTTTACCAAAACGCAACATGCTAATTAATGAAGGTCTTAAATTACTTGTTTGGCTCCTGGGTGTGACTTGACTGGTATAGAAAAATCTGAGGATGACCTTCTGAATTCTAAGTGGTCAGGAGATAAATGTAGCCTAGAGTCAGCCCCTGCATCGACCATTACCCCAAAATGTACCAACATGTGCTTGCCTGAGCTACTGTAGTTTAACTATTTATGAATTTTGAGGACTTTTCATAGCTTAAGTATTTAAATGCCATTACTTATTTAGAAACTGTTTCAATATATGCTTAGTCAACCAATGTTGGCAAGGGTTATAGGCGAAAATGAACCCTTCGGTATGTACACTGTTGGTGGCAATACTTGTAAACTGGTACAGTTTCATGGCTGAACAATACTTCACTGTATGTATTCTTTATGTTTTGCTTTGTGAAAATAGAAGTTCCTCAGAAATTAAAATAGAATACCATCATGATTTCAAGCAATCCTTCTGGTGACATAAACCAAGGGAAATGAAAATCAATAGTTGTAAGTATCTGTAGCATTATTACACATAGCTAGGATATGCGAAAAGCCTAAGTGTCTATTGATGAATGCAGTCAACAAAGGAAGTGCAGTTATGTAAAAAAAGAAAAAATTTAAAATAAAATAAAATGCTTGTCCATGCTTTTTGCCCATTTTCCCTCTATACATGTACCTTTTTTCCTTGGTTGTAGTTTAGGAAGTTCCTCTATTATATTCTGGATTCTTCTAATCTTTTAATATATCAGGTGTTGCTAATACTTTCTTCCAGTTGTGACATGTCTTTGCCTGGCTTTTCTGAAAGCGTCCTTTGATGCACAGAGTTCTTAATTTTAATATAGTTAAAATATATTCTCTTGTCTTTTTTTGAGGCAAGCTTCACTCTGTCACCCAGACTGGAATGGCAGAGTCATAATTACAGGCTCACTACAGCCTTGAACTCGTGGACTCCAGCAGTCCCTCTTGCCTCTGCCTTCCTAGTAGCTGGAGACTACAGGTGCACACCACCACATGCAACTGAGTTTTTTTAAAAAATTGTTTTGTAGAGACGGGGTCTCACCATGCTGCCCAGGCTGGTCTCAAACTTCGTGGGATCAGCGATCCTCCCACCTCGGCCCTCACCAAATGCTGGAATTTCGGCTTGAGCCACTGTTCACGGCCAAAAGTATTATCTTTTATTAGTATTAGTGCTTTTATGTCTTGAGAAATACATCCCTCCACTGGTGCAGTAGCTGATGCCTGTAAATCCCAACACTCTGGGAGGCGAAGCAACGTGGATTGCTTGAGTCCAGGAGTTCAAGACCCAGCCTGGGCAGCATGGCAAGACCCCATCTCTACAAAAAGTCAAAATTAGCTAGGGTTCAGA